TGCTTGGCTGGTTTTGTTCTTTCCTTTCCAAATGTCAAAGCCTGTTCCTATTGAACTCAATAGCAAAACTCCTTTTGATCTCAATGTGAACAGGATTTGGCCCCAAGAGATCAGAGAACGTGATTTTGATCAATTGCTTATCTGTCCAGAGACAGTTCTTATGCATGTTCTGCCAGGCTGATTTTGATTGTCCCTCCTGTATGTCATGCTGAGGAAAATAATAAAACAATTTGGGCTGTAGTTATATCAAGATGTACATGGCACGCACGGTTCTATGCCTCTTTTTCATCAAACCCAGATGGCTCAGCATCTTTGCTTTCCTAGTGCCTGGTGGAGGTCAATGCTTACATAAAGGCAAGGTGGCAGCAGCTTAGTTTGGACATAAGGGAGGCAGTGATAGTGTGTTAAGGGAAAGTGGGGTGATTGTCCTTCCTATCCTTCTTTCATTTAAGAAGTTTTCAATTTTGGGTGCTGCTGGATCCTCAATGACACCTGGAAGTACAGCAGGGGCCCAAAGTATCATTTTACAATTGCATCTGTTTCAGTTGTAAAATTTTAGACCAGTAAGGGGGGTGTTGGAGGTGATGGGGAGAGTGTGGGGGCCCCAGGCTGGGGGCAGGGTGGGGAGGAGTCACAGGGAGGGGTCACGTGGGAAGGTCATGTGCCCTCCCATGAGTGCAGTACCAGCAAGAAATGATTTCTACTTGCACTACTGGATAAAAGGAACTAATTTCATGTTCTAAACCAGTGTTTCTCAAACTGGGGTTTGACATTTGTGCACTTACCTGCCACATAGTTTACAAAAACTAAACCATTAAGAGCAAGGAAATAAATAGTTAAGGATATGATAAATTGTATGGTGACAGTGCTCTCTCTCCTTGTAGTTCACAAGTTCCCAAACTCTAGTCTTTAGACCCCTGTTGGTCTGCAGAGTGATTTCATATAGTCTGTAGAAAGCTGGCTGATCACATGGTGTTGGCTCCTCCTCCTTGTTTCCAGCTGCAAAACTGCATGAAAAGACAGCTAAAAAACACATGAAATAACTTCCTAATGCTACTTTTTTGTGGAAGTAATTGTTGTAGTTGCCACAGTGATGTTGTGGAGTCAAGAATGAGAGACAAGGTGGCCCATGTAGCAATGAATCTTATGGGAGGGATCTGAGAAAAATCTTTCTATTAATAAGTGTGGTACCTACTTTTGCTTAAAACCATAGAAGGCTGTGTTTTTGGAACTAAAAGCTCAGTGTTCCAACCTCAGCACTGCAGGTGGTTTGTGTTGTTTTATGATGGAGAGGCCATAGTCCTTCCAAGTTAGAATTGCAACCCCTATCCAGGTCCTTACCTCTCAGCTTGCCAAATCCCAAATGTGTGATGCACTGTGACATAGGATATGCCTAGTTCAAGCTTTGAGCTGGAGGTATAGTTTCCAGCTGGAGGAGACATAACTGTGATATCTCTGACCAAGCTAGTGCACTATTAATAATGTAGAGCTGCAGCAGCTCAAGCCATGGCAAGGGTTAGCAGTCCTGAGTACGAACCCATCCAAAATGCTAGCTAGGTATGTACTTGGGATGGCGAGCCTTTCCCACTACTTGCACCGCCACATCTACAGTCTATTTTCAGTGCGCTAGCTCAGTCAGAGCAAGGGTGGGTATGTCTCCTTGAGCTGGAGTTTACACCTTCCATTTTGAAGTGTAGTCATATCTATAGACCTACAATGAGGGACACAAAAATCTGTTTGTCAGAAACTTAAAATGCTGTGGCATTCATTCCTCTAGTGTAAGTAACTCGTTCTATAACCTCAGTTCCATGATTCTTTCAGATGTAAATAATTTTAAAAACAAAAATGAGGGGAAATCAAATTTGTATGGACTGTAGGTAAGTTTAAGACTCTTGAATTGAGGGATGTTTAAGAGCAACTTTTAATTTTTTCGTTACATCTCATTGACAACTAGAATGTTTTGACATTTTGATTAAATTAAGTAAATGCTTTTTGTCACTGAAAGACATAAAAGTGGCTCCTTCTAGAATTTTTTTCAAAACACCTAATTATTTTTGTTTCTCAACCTGTACAATGAAATCAAATAGCATCGTAATATTTGAAAAGTAGTTATATTTGACATTGGCTTATGTAAAATGCATATTTCAAAAGCAGGGCTACTGAAATGTTTAAGACGTTGCTTTATTTGAAAGCTAGACATGATTCCGACATCTACTCCTAGATGTCTAGCCATCGGCTCAAGATCAACATGGCTAAACAATTCTTAAGCCCCACTCACCCCCATCCGCAAGCCTGCCCAGTATTTCTTTTCTCAGTCCCTGGAGACACCACCACTTCCTGCCTGTGTCTCGGTCATGTAACTTGGATGTCAGACTTCTCTTGAGATCCTCACATCTCGGCTATGTTTGTCGTACAGATTCTTTGCATAACATCTCTAAGATATGGCCTTTCCTATACAGATATGGCCTTTCCTATACATCTACGCAGCTAAAACTCATTCAAGCTCCCATCAAGTTGCATCTCAATTACTCCAACATCTTTCTTTCTGGCCTTGCTAAATGCAGGCTTGTCCCACTCATATTCATTCAGAATGCTGCTGCACAGATCATTTCCCTAGCCTGTCACTTTGACCATGTCACCCCTCTCCTTGCACCCCTCCACTCACTCTGTCTTCTCTACCGTTATCAACCATAAACTACTTGTCTCCACTTTCCAAGCCCTTCGCATCCTGTCCCCTCTCTACTTATCCCTGTCACTCACTATCAAGCTTGCAACTCCTGAATCTGATCCGCCCGTGGTGCCTGCCTCCATTGCTCCTAGTTAAAATTTGGCAAGCGCCTTTGTGCTTTCTCCCAGTGCCGCCCCTCATGCCTGACAAGAGCTCCCCATAAACATCTGCAAACCTAACTCATTATCCTCCTTCAAACTTTCCTTTGCTTTGATGCATACAAAAATCTTGCAACAGTTAGGCGAGTGGTGAGCTGAGATCATGGCCTATATGCTGATCAATGTTGTCTCATTGCTTCTTTGTACTCCCCCATCAATGTCTGTATCTATCTGTTGTCTCTTGTCGTACACATAGTTTGTAAGGAACCGGGTTTTTTTGTTTGTTTGTTTTTTTATTCTGTGTTTCTACAGCACCTAGCTCAATAAGGTCCTGGTTCATGACTGGGACTCTTCGGAGCCACAATAATATAAATAATAATTAGTTTTTTTGCCAATGAGACCACGGTGATGGAGAATATTTTAATGATTATTCTACAAAATGGCTGAGGGCTACTTTTTAAAAGGGAATGGAAACTCAGGCTCTGGTAAAATTACTCCTTCTCCAGCATTCCCAATTAAATGCTCCCAGAGCCTTGGGGAAATGTGCACATGTCTGTTTCAAGACCAAATAATCAAGAAACCGAGAACTTAAGTGATTTACCAAAAGTATCATTAGAAGTTTGTAGTGGAGTTTGAAACAGTCCACTGGGTGAAATCTGGACCCTGTTCCTGGGAATTTTACCACTGACTTCAGTTGGGCCAGGATTTCAGCCCTGACCTCTGAGGTAGTAAGCCTATATCACACCAGCTACGCCACAGTGCCTCATATCCATATTCTACAAATCTCCATATGTAATTAGGCCATCTGAAACCTACTAGATTGGGCGTTAGGTGTGTAGAACAAAGCAACCTGGGTTCTGTTATTGGTTATGATTTGTAGCACCTTATACCAACATTCAGTGTTAAGAGAGGTGGTTCTATGAAGGATGCACAACTAACTCAGCTATGTAGTGAGCATACATATCCTCATGGGGTGCACTGAATAAGGCAAATCTCCTCAAGAGCTATTACCAGGTTGGCCAGCACCTTACTCACTATTAATTAAAATATGGTGATCTCTCTGTCCCATTTTTTTAAATTAAAACACTGTATCTTTGATTTTCTTCCTTTTGCTTAGGTTAATTAAGATGAAGTTAGAAAGAGAGGAGAGAAGAAAAAACAATGGATCAAAAATTACTTGGAAAATTCCTAAAACCAAAATCTCATTTCAAAAACTAGTTGAAGTTGCTAAGTGACATCTGTGCACTTACCTGCCACATTTTTTACAAAAACTAAACCCTTAAGAGCAAGGAAATGAATAGTTAAAGATATGATAAATTTTATGCTGCCAACCTAATAAACAAGCATGTCATTCTTATCAAGCATAAAGAAATGCATATTTCAACACAATAGAGCAACCTTAAATCTTATCCGCAATAACTACTACTTTCACCAGTAGTCTCAAAATTTAAACATAATACACACCTTTCTCAAAAAGAAACACAGCAATCCATATATATATATATATTAATAATACATTCATCAGTCTCAAATGAAAGTCCATATACCTTTATATTTTTGCCATCAGTCACAATGTCATGTACTTTCCTATCATCAAAAATTGCTAAATGACTAAATAAAATTAAATCTCACACAATTCTCAAAGCACATCAGTTTTAAATACTTTATCAGAAATGTCTACAGTCATGTGACTAATATATTAATTGTTATATTGACTGTGTTACCAATTTTTTCCTTTTTAATGTATTCCTTAAAACAAAATACAAAGACTTCAAAATCAAAATAATACATTAATTATTGGGGTTTGAAAAATGTATCAGAGTTAAGAGTTTGTGTTACGATGAAGTGTGCATTTTCTGATATCTAAATAAGAATATTGTTTGTTTGTTATGTGGGGAGTGAAAGATTTATGAGGTCCGTCAGAACTCATTTCCTTGCTTCCAGTGCATGGATTTTGTAAAAGGTATGATAGATAAGTACATTGTTCATACTCTTTCATCTGCCACAGATCTCTGCTGTGTTGCTCACATCTGTTGCACATTTTAATTGCACTAGTTATTTAATTCATCGGCTCTGTTCTCTCTTTTCATTCAGTATAATTTTGTTTTCTTGTGCTTTCTTGTTTTTGAACTCTCTCATCTCTTTTCTCTGAAATCCTTTCTATTTTACTCAAGATACCTCGAATCATCCTAACACGCCCTTCCACTTCAGATGAGGACACCGACCAATTAACCCACGATCCAGATGACTTTGAACCTGAGGAGATGGATAGTGCAGAAAGCCAGGGCTATTCAGAGTGTTTGAACAATGCTTTTTACCCTCCCTAATAAAGTACTCTGATAGAAGAACTTCATGGTATTATTTTTTCGTTGTTGTTCTCTTTCTGTTAAGGTAGTACAGTACTTGAACCACTATGCCTTATTCATAGTTGAAACCAGTACATGGGCTGAATTTGAATTGAAAAAACAAAACAAAACTTAAGTTACATTTATGTTTATTTGCCTTGAACTTTACTTCAATTGGAATTAATACTCTTGAAATGGAATGTTCTGTATAAAGTTATATGAATGTCACCAGTCAAGCGTTTAAAATTTCCACTTTAAGTGCATTCTGCAAAAACTCAATGTGATGATAAAGATTTTCAGTCATTGGGGGTACTACACCACAACCCATTTGGAAACATGGTAAAAGCAAATGTATAGATTTATTTATTTTTTAAACTAAGGTGCGTATTCCATCTATGTGGCCAACCCCCTGTTTTATCTACAGGTTCCTTTGGATTGTCCCCTTTTATGTTGTTTTCTATCTGAATAAAATATTACTCTTCAGTCTAATGAATGGTTCTCTTTTGTAGATGAATGTAATTCACCCTGGGAAGGTGCAAGTCATGCCAAAGAATTAAAGAAGAGGCTTCTCTGAGTGCATAATTAATGTGATCCACATGTGAGATTTTTATAAGGACCTGTAAGTATGGATCCCATCAGATAAAAACTTAGAGAGGCCTCTTCTTCAGCCAGGAGCCAGGGAATGGGTTGAAAAAGAACTTCTGAACCGAGAGTGGTTTCCATGGTTTGTCTCTTCCTCCCCTCTATTTGCATGTAAACAGAACCCCCCAAAAGTTGCCTTGAAATTTCAGCATGTGTTTTAAGGAGTAAACAGAAGCACATATGGTAAACAACAGAGACCAAATGTTCTTGTGCCTGAGCATTCAACCCTCTTTCTCTTTACCAGAATCTAATGCCTTCCATATGGTTCAGGCCCCTAGCATGTTTTTAGGTACTCAAAAAATAACCCATTGTTGGAACTGGGTACAACACATGGTATTGGCTAGTGTGCATATGTACCATTGTCCTGTATTTCAATGGAATCAGATGGCTCAGGTGTCTGTCACCTTCTGGTGTTTGGCCTACAAAGAGGATGCTAAGTACTAAATAGTAAGGAAGGTCTCCCCTAGTTAAATTGGTAAAGACCTCTTCTGCTGGAGAAAGATGTACTGAGTTCTATTCCGCATGTACATTAGGCCTGTTTTGCTGGGAACCACCATATCTGTGTATATGTAAATATGGATTCTTTATAATATATGAATGCAATACAGCCCTATGACCTGGGGGAGCCTCATTTTCTATTCAAATACATGGACAATCAGCTGATAAATCTCTCAGAATGACTTGAATGATATCATAGTAGTTAGCAGTCCTGACCTACAACAGGATTGATACCATATTATTAGCAAATCACCCCTAATAAGTGTGAAAGAAATTTTAATTTGAAAATTTAGGATCATAACACTGATAATTTATGATATGGGGATTTCTCTTGCATCGCTAGCTGTTTCCACATAGTTTTCTTGTTATTTTGCACTTAGTTGAAATGAAGATAATTTACTAGTGATATGAATATTAAACTAATTTTAATTGATTCTGGGATATGAGCATTACTATACAATCTACTAGTGCTGTGAAAATGCCTATATCAGTTCCATAGTCTTCCTAGTTTGACTCAGAATAGACAGACGTCAGTGGACGATTTTAAATTTTAAAAAGGAACATTTGTTCTCTTCCCCTACTGTGCTACACAGCTTGTTTTGCCGTAGAGACAATCATTGTTTCTCCATAGTGACACAGTCCTTACTGAATGCACAAAGCAGAAATATCATTAAAGCTGGCCCTCTGCACTAATAAATGCCTTTGCAATCCAGTGTGTGATATGCAATTTTTATTAGTATTGAATTATGTCTTCCTGGACTGGAGGAATAGGAAAATATAGAAATTACACGGTTCTAAACCAATAACTGGTGGCAGTGAATGAACCTCAGCTAATCAAGGGAATTAAGTGGAATGAAATGGGATTCTATTGAGAACTATATATTTTCACTATCTTGCTCTACTCCAGCCAGTCATATATTTTAGGTTCTTCATTAGATACAAAAACTTTGATATTGCTTTCCACAATATTCAAAAAAGGCAGGGTAATTGTATGCTAGTGTATATTGTGCACTTCAGCCTATGTTTTCAAAAGTGGCTTCTAATTTTGAGTGCCACAGTTTTTCAAAGTGTTCCTCTTGTGATCTCTTCAGCCTTCACCATCTTCAGCTGGTGTTATGGGTCTCTGAAAATAAGACTCTTGGTGTTCAAGTTGTTCCCCACAAAACAGAAGCACACAGATTAATAGAAATTTTTGAAAATGTAGGCCTTTATTTGTTTATTTTTAATTGAACTTGCAAAATTCAGATTGCAGTGTGGAGACTTTTGTGCCATACACATACACAGTTCTCATTCCAATGGATGTACTGACCACAAGTTAACAGGAGGTGTTTTTATGGACTTTGTTGAATAACACCACTATAAAGACACACAACTCTAATGTGTTATGAATTAGACAGCACCATAAATGTGCATGCCCCTTTACAAAACCGGAAAGACCAAATCTTGAAGCCCTTATTTAGTTTTTGCTCAGGCTTTACTCATGCAAAATTTCCAATCACTTCAATGAGAGGTTTGCTTGTATAGGGACTAAATAAAAAATTAAGAGCCAAATTCTGCCACTCTGACTCATGTTGTGTTATGCTCACTCACTTGAACCAGTATGGAAAAAGGGTGGGCAGAAATAGGCCCTGAATCAAGCCTTTAGTCAATACTGATATAACAATTGCTCAGTTCTTATCATTATTAGTTAATGACCGCATAAACCATTTATTCACAAAATGGCTCTCTGCAGCACTTGCTGGTTTCCTGTGGACAGCTGACTCCTCGTTTCCAGCTGCAAAATTGCATTAAAAGATAATTAAGAAAGCATTAAGTACCTCTCTAATGTTGTTTTTTCCTTCTAAGCAATTGTTATAGTTGCCACAGGGATGTGATGGTGAATGAGAGGAGTGGTTGGTCGGTACCATTGATGTATGGAAGCGATTTGGGGGAAGGAGACAATCTCCATTTAAATGCGGTTCACACTGTTCAGTAGCTTGAGAACACCTGTTTATGAGAACAGTTACTTTGTTAAAGCAACAGATGTCAAATGAAAAAGGGCTTGTATGTTTCTTAGATGTTCTTTACCTTTGTCATAGCATATACACTATGCTGTCATTGACACTGTTTGTAGTAGTCCACTTTCAATCATTAAGCTATTAGTAATCAGAGTGGAGTGCTCTCAATTTCTACCGCCTTCAATGGAGCAAGAGCAATCTCTAAAGGGTCTGTTTAATGTAATGCAATAAATAACTTTTGCAACATTCTTTCTGGAATCAATGCATTCAAAAAGGCTCTCTTCTGAGGAAACGTATAGAAGAGACTCATATACATTGTATGGTATGTAATGCTTTTATGTATTGGTTCCCCTGTACATGAGGCGGGGGTTTATACTGCATATAATAATTTCCCTCTTTCGCCAGGGCTGTTCTCTCTCCCTCCCCTGAGTATTTACAGAATAAGCACGTTGTCCAAAGAGTGACAGCAGCAGTTGTTGATGGACTGTGACCTCTCGCAAGGATTAACTTCCCACCCTCAGATTTCATGTCAATTGAAAGGTAAGCCTTCTCAGTACATAACTGCAGGCAACTTCAGCACACACTTCATTTCTGCTGCTACAATGTAAAATACATGTTAGAAAAGCATCTGGAATCCTGATGCACATGACCTAGCATATGCATACAGATACTTGCTGACTTGTCATACTGCAGGGGAACAATTGCTGGAGTCAAAAATAAATTAGAAATCTTAACTTGTAATTTCTTCATGAATTGCAGCCAGATGGGGGTGGATGGATCTATCTGAGTATTGTGGGATTTTTAAGCTTTTGAATTATTTTAAAAAATAAATGGTCAAAATGTTCCTTCCAAACCTCAAGAAATCTTAAGATTTCAACCTTCATTTCAGACCTCTTAACTGACAGACCTGATTTATCATCTGAGTAAAATGTGTCAGGACTTCATACCTAATATTCATTAATTTCTAGTGGTGTGTTTAGACACAATCATAAAGACATTGTTCCTGAAGTTAAGACAAAGACAATACACGTCGGACACACATTTCAATAAACATGGGGATCCACTGTTTCAGCAGCATGGCTCGGTGCATGACAAATGTGAATAATAGAAGAAATATGGGTGTTCTGTGAATAAAAATGTGATCCAATGTGACATGAAAATTATTGTTACTAACCTATTTTCTTTTCCAAGCATCACCGATGAACTGAGCACAGAAAATATGAAAGTTGCTGACGCAGTATATTAGAAAACTCTTAGAATAATGGCTTTACATTATAAGGACCAAGTGCTCCCCCACCCCGAATAACCCAGGGAAGAAGGAAAAGTGCTTCTAGACCTACATGGGGTTCAACTCATAGGATCACTGCCACAGTCCTAAAATTATAGAGCCATAAGGTTAGAAAGGAAAACAAAACTCATCTAGTGAAAATCTAACCTCCTGTCAATGCGGGATTTGTTGTGTCTACACCATCCAAGACAGATGGCTAGCCAGCCTCCTTTCGAAAACCTCCAGTGAAGAAGCTTCCACGACTTCCCTAGGCAGTAAGTTCCATTGTCCTACTGTTCTTAAAGTTAGGAAGTTTTTACTGAGATTTAATGTAAATCTGCTATGACATAGTTTGAGCCCATCGCCTCTTGTCCTGCCCTTTGCAGCCAGAGAGAACAACTTTTCTCCATCTTCTTTATGGCAGCCTTTCAAGTATTTGAAGACCGCGATCATGTCACCCCTTAAACTTCTCTTTTCCAAACTAAACATACCCATTTCCTTCAGCATTTGCATACTTCATCATCTTTGTCACTCACCTCTGGATCCTTTCTAGTTTCGCTACCTCTTTTCTATACATTGGCGATCAAAATTGGATGTAGAACTCCAGCTGAGGTCGAACCAGTGCCGAGTAGAATGGTTCTAACACCTCCCGTGACTTGCATGCTATGGCTCTGTTAATGCAACCTAAAATTGCATTTGCTGTTTTTTGCAACAATATCACATTACTGACTCATGTTGAAGTTGTGATCTACAACAACTCCCAGATCCTTCTCAGCAGTGCTGCTGCCAAGCCAGTTTTTCCCCTTTCTGTATTTGTGCATTTGGCTTTCTTCTCTGAGTGTAGCACCTTACATTTGTCTTTGTGGAATTTCATTTTGTTGTCTATAACCCAGTTCTATAATTTATCAAGATCCCTTTGAATTTTAGCTTTATCCTCCAAAGTGTTTGCAACTCTTTCCCCCCCACGCTCCCATCTTTGTGTCATCTGCAAATTTGATCAGTATGCTCTCTATTCCTACATTCAGGTCATTAATAAAGATCTTAGATAACACTGGACCCAGAACAGGTCTCTGTGGAAA